TAATTTTTATCCTTTTATAAAAATAGTTCAATTTTTATAATTCAGTTCAGTTTTATAGTTCAATACAGTTTAACTATCCAACAGTTCAGTTCAGTTCAGTTTTTTTACAAACAGTTCAGTTTTTTATAGTACAGTACAGTTCAGTTCACCACCAGTTCAGTTCAGTTCAATTTTTTTTGCCCACCCCTAACGGAAATGGGACCGCGTAATTCAATGGAGTGTTCCCAATTTCTTATGTTATGGATTATGTGATAAAATATTTTCTACCAATTTCTTATGTCATTGCTGAAGTGATAAAATATTTTTCACTTGACATAAACCGTGTTTGATTGAAGCAGAAATACTTGGAAAAAAAAATAGAGAAATTAAAAAATAGAAATAATTGAGTAGAAATAAAAAAAAATTATTTAGTAAAAATAAATAAGTAAAAACTAGAAAAAATTATCATGTTATCCTTTGTTAAGTACATTTAACTTTTTATTTCTTTTATTCAATTAAATTTATTTTTTAATTAAACAAATCAAGCTTGTTTATTTAATTTTATTTGAATAACATACATGTTATTCAAATAAAACTAAATAAATATATGTTTTGTTATGCTTTGTTTGCTTTGTACAGTATAAGTAACTTAGTCATATATTTCTTGTAAGATGACGATTGATGATGAAAAGAATATTTTAAACTGGCTTTAAACTTGAAATTCGAGAATTTGCATCTATTATTCAAAATAATCGATTATCCACTTATATTAATCAATTATTTACATTATATTTTCTCATTCTGTAAAGCTTACTGTAATAATCAATTATCACTATGCAATAATCGATTATTTCAAAGTCAACACTCTGAAATAATCGATTATTCCAATAAATAATTGATTAAAATGTTATTGACCGATTCTAGATTTATCAAGAATAAAATAATTGATTATTTCAATTAGACATTTCTATAAATATCATTTTTCAAACTCAAAACAAAAAGAATTGAAATATTTGTAACTTTGTGAAATCTCTTGCAAAAAAGACTCTAATATTCTTTGTTTTCTTTGTAAAATAATCTTTTGATCCTTTATAGATAATTTCAAGAAAGGATTCAAGAATCATCATCATCCAATTAGAAAGAAAGGCTAAGCTACTCTAACTTTGATTCACCTATTTGATTGATCCTGTATCCAGGTGAATCTGTTTTAAAACACTCTTTATCATTGTTTTTGAGTAGGTTTTTCAAGATTAAAGGTTTTGTAATGTATGACTACAAGGGATATTTGTTAGGGTATAAGAAATGTGTATATCTTTAGGATTTTAGGAATTTATTGCATGTGTATGATTGTAATACTCTAAATATAAAGATAGTGAAAAATCTCGATTAGGTTGATTGAGGACTAGATGTAAGTCATAGTGGTAGGGACTGAACCAGTTTAAATCCTTGTAGCATATCTCTCTATCCTTACACTCTATATTTGAATTCTTGCTAACATTGGTTGTATGTGCTAAATCTCTTATATTTGAATATTGTATATAATATAGGATTTAACATATATTTTTTGGTAATAAATTCATAAATCAATCTCAACATTTTATCCTATATAATCTAAATCAATAGACTTCTTTGGAAAGATTTTAGAAAATTGTTGAAAATTAAAGATCCTGAAAATAATTTTTTTAAAATATCAAATTCACCCCCTCTCTTGGATAAAGCCATATTTTTTAACAAATGTATATAAAGATCAAATCACACCAATCATGCATAGCATACCAATGTTAAACAACACATCCAAGAATAGCATACCAATGCTCAACACCTCAATCAAGTACAACATATCAATGCCTATACAATCCTCCAACCCTACAACTGTAGCAAATCAATGCCCATCAACATTTTCACCTGTACAAACATCTACATATATCATCCCAAATCAATTCATATGGAACTAACATCATTCTACCTAATTCAACTATCAATAGTTAAATCATTAATATACATTATCATAATTGAATATATAAAGCACCCTTTCAATCATCGTTATGCACCATTTAAAACAACCAACACAACAAGATATTGAAGATTACAAGTAAGAAAAGGGAAACATGCACTTCAAGTGCCCTAAGGCTATCAACACCTAGCTTAGAGCTACCAGTATCTAGCTCGAAGTTACCAAACACCTAGTTTAGAGATACCAACACCTTGCTTGAAGCTACCAACACTTGGCTTAGACCTACCAACACCTAGCTCGAAGCTACCACAACAACTAACTTAGAAATACTAATTGCTAACTTAGAGCTACTAGATAGCTAGCTTAGAGGTACCAACAACAAGCTCAAAGCTACCAGATGGCTAGCTCAAAGCGACCAAAATTCACTCGAAGCAACTAGAATTCGCTCTAAGTGACTCAATTCAAAGAGCATCTCTGAACAACTGTCCAAGCTCACCTTAAGCGACTCTCATGAGCACTCTAAGTGGCCAAACCCAAAAAACATGTATAACTTCGAGAAAACCCAACAAATCAAGAACAACCTCAAATCCTCTCAACCCATACAACACTATATGCATGCAAGCTCATAATTTTCCAATTATAACAACATGCAACTCATAATTTGAAGAAAATGAGACATGTAACAACATCACACAAATCTACCACTATCAAACCTCCCCTTATTCACCAAGAACACTAAGTTCTTCAAAATTCAACACCCCACTTCAGATTAAGCATACCAACGAAACATTCAACAAGAATCAAGGTATATGCAACACAACAATCTACTAACTATCAAGTTCTAGCTTCCCTTACCTCAAATTCGAAGAGAATGAGGAAGAAGGAAGAAGAAATCAAGTTTCAAGGAAACTTTGTAGGAAACCACCATCGCTCAATTCTCAGCTTTTCGAACCTTAAATATCTGCACCACTTCTACAATTAAGCTCTAGGGAGGATCACAACATCCTTAAAAGGAATTAGAGAAGAAGAGATTCTCTCAAGACTCATAATTTCTCTCTCTAAAATTCTAGAGTTAAGACCTTATGAAGTTCATTATTTAGAATTTACCTTATATACTTTAGTCATCTTTGGGCCAACTTTCACACTCTTACGCTATAACAACAAAATAACTTGAAATAACATACTTAATTACATTTATCACAATAAATATAATTAAGAAAGTATGGAGAAAAAATAAACACTAAAAAGGAGTTGAATAGTGTATATCAAAACTCACTTTTTTTGAAGTAGAGTAGTAGCTCTTATCAAATGAAGTGCGAAGAGCAGTCAAATGAAACATGGGATATTTTTATATTAGTTTGTCTCTAAAATTATAATTACTTTTAATTCATTCAAAAATTTCAATTTATATTGATGATAAATTGTAAATTAAATAGACTAAATACATCGTTTAAAATTCTCTCAATAATTAGAGGAACATAATGATATATACAGTATTCAACATATATTGCATTTAATTATTTAAATGTGTAATTATTTTTAAATTATAAATTATAAAGAAAGGATAAGATATATATATATATGTCCCCTTTTCATTTTTTTCAAATTTTTCCTTAAATAGTCCTTTATTATTTTTTAAAATAAATTTTATTTTCAAAAATTATTTTCTTTGTTCACTCCCTCCTTTACTCGATCATTTTCTTCCGCTAGTTTATCTAGGGATGGCAACGGGGCGGGTCGGGTGTGAGTTTCATGATACCCGTCCCCGTCCCCGCGAGTTAAACCCATCCCCGTCCCCGTCCCCATACCCATCGGGTATAGATTTTCATCCCCATCCTCGTCCTTGTCGGGTATCAGGTATACCCATACCCGTACCCGTACCCGTCAATTTTTTTTATTTTTTATTTTTTGTAAAAAAAAATGATATTTTTAAATTATTTTTTTTATTATTTATAATTATAATTAGGTTATTTCTTTATCTTATATTATAATAAATAATCACACATAAAAAAATATTAATTTTTTTTAATATAATTAAATTGAAAGTGAGTATTAAATTAAAAATGAGAATGGGAATGGATACGAGGCGGGTAGGTACATACCCGTACCCGTACCCGATTTAATATATCGGGTTTTACCCGTACCCGTACCCGGTCAAACCGGGTATTTCCCGTCAAAGTTAGGACGGGTTCGGGTATTACCTGCAAGTACGGGTATATTTGTCATCCCTAAGTTTATCCCTATCTGATTATTGTTCATAAAGTTTCTCTTGTTTATTTCTTGATTTTTTTTGTCTAGCAATTAAAAAACTCAGAAGATGAATTTTTGTACTCATTTTCTTCCCCTAGTTTATCCCTATCTTGTTTTTTTTTTACTTTCCTTCTTTATTAATTTTTTAAACCCTTTTTTTTACTCTTAATTATTTAAATATGAGAAGTACTTCCAAGAACTACTTTTTTCTTAAGTCCTGAACTCCAAAGAAAAAAATTATATATTTCTAAAAAAATGCTTATATTTTTACTCTTAGAATAAAAGTAATAAAACATATTTTTAGAAAATATTTTTCAAAAGAATAAATTTATTTATCTCTGAAAAGTATTTTTTATCTAATAACAAATAATTTATTAATTAAACAAATAAAGTTGTAACCTTAATTAAGCTATATAAATATATTCGAATAACAGTTATTAGTTCAAAATTAGGGCAGAAATTTTTGCCTCGATGATTATTTATCAACTATTAGGTCATTGTAATTATGATAGGATATCAGTTGCCAAAAACACCAACAAAAAGGGTACTGTTTCCTCTTTTTAATTATTTTATTCTTTAAAAAAATATTTTCGTTGTATTCGAAATTTTGATTATTTAATTATAGTATAAATGATAATATCCCCTCAAGTTTTAGGACTCACGTAACAAAATTCTCCAAACCCTTCACCTCCACAGAGCTTCTCACTCTGCATCACCCATTTTCCCTCTCCCTTTCTCATTCCTTCTACTCCCCCAAAACCCATTCCTCCCACATTATCAAAATCCTCTCATTCATCCCACATAACCATTAAGAAAAAGTAAAAAAAAAAACAAAAACAAAAACAAAAAAAAACAAACCCAGCAACAATCACGTAAACACCATCGACACAATGAAGGTTTCAGTCTCGGGAAAGCTCTTCACAGTGGGGTTGATAAGTTTCTGGTACGCCTCCAACATTGGGGTGTTGCTGTTGAACAAGTACCTCCTGAGCAATCACGGTTTCAGGTACCCTATATTCTTAACGCTGTGCCACATGATGGCGTGTTCCATTCTCAGCTACGTGGCCATTGCATGGCTGAAGATGGTTCCCATGCAAACGGTGCGGTCGAGGGTGCAGTTTCTGAAGATATCGTCACTGGGACTCATATTCTGCTTGTCCGTTGTGGGAGGCAACATCTCCCTCCGCTACCTCCCCGTGTCCTTCAACCAGGCCGTCGGCGCCACCACGCCGTTCTTCACGGCGGTGTTCGCTTATTTCATGACGCTAAAGAGGGAGGGCTTGCTCACGTATGCCACACTCGTCCCGGTTGTTTCTGGCGTTGTTATTGCTAGTGGGGTATCACTTCTATCTCTCTCTTTTTTCTTTCATACTACGTATTTGTTATCAGAGACAATTATATTCGAGTGAGATAAGATTTCTGTAGGTTACATAATTCTCTCTTATCTCTATGAATTTGTCTCTCCTTGGAAGAGGATGCAAGTCTTTTACTGATTGTTAAAACTTACACACAAGTTCATAGTTTGTTATGCCTGTCTACACTGTACGTGTGTTTTATCTAAATTTCCACCTCTTTAATTTCTTCCGTTTATCCGGATTCAGATATTTGCTGCATTCATGCAGTCAACTAAGCGAAATTGTTGGATGAAGATTGGATAACTCGTATTAAATTTAGGGTTTAAATGTAAAATGTTTTATACCATCGATCAATAAAAAATTATAGTTGTATAACATGTAAGTAGTTATTATAAAAGTGATCAAACGTACCTTTTGTAATGGTTTTTAATTGGATGATATTGTGGTATTGTGCATATAACATATTTACTATTAATTTAATCTTAATAAATCTGGTATAAAATACGTGTGTGAGATGTGAATCATCTTGTCTTCATCCAGTGGTTGCAGATTTATGACTGTGTTAATGTGGTGTTTGTTTTGTTGTGTGTTGTATAACGTGCAAGTGACAAATTTGAATGGGGACATGAAATTCTAGTTCTATGGTTAAGAAATTGAATGGGGACTTGCAATTCTAGTTCTTTGGATTTACCTCTACTAAAGTGTAAGGTTCAATTGTTGAGATTTTTACAATTTCATATTTATTTTATAAGTGATTATTAATGGTTTTTATTGTGATTCATCCTTCAACAATCGCTCCTCATATTAGAGGAGCCAAGTCCTTTTTTTCCTTTTTAAAATCAGTTAAAATATCATAATATACAAGTATGTTGAAGAAAAATTTTATGTGATCTCACTAATACACACCCAAGAATTAAAGCATACACACAGGTGGTGCAGAAATTAGATATGCAATGTCGGGCTAATTTGATAATAGGATTTAGGCCATTGATTCAATCTATTGCTTTGAGGGTATATATTCAAGTACAAGACTTTCTTTCGTTTCTTTCAAATTTCTTTATAAATATGTTCTCTGATTAGTTTTAGCCTGTTAATTTTGGGAATGGGAGAAATCGCCTCTGCTTGGGATCTTTTTTGTTAATGTTAGATTTGCTAGGTGTCATTGTCACTAATTAATGTAGATGAAAATGGGGTTCTGCTTGTTGTTACAAGCTGTAGTTATTGATTTTTACTATATATTTTCACTTGTATGGATGAAGGGAGAACCAAGCTTTCATCTATTTGGATTCATAATGTGCATCAGTGCTACAGCAGCCAGGGCACTCAAAACAGTGCTTCAAGGGGTCTTGCTGTCTTCTGAAGGGTAAAGAGCTCAAACTTTCTTGTCATAGTATTTGAACTCTACTGATTGAAGAAAGAGTGTCATCCATATTCCAC